CTTTGTTTGTAACTCTGTATTGTCTGTACTGTTCTTTTGCTATTTTGTAAAATGTTGTTAAAAAAAAAAAAAAACAGAGGGAAATGGAGGAAGTAACAGCAGAAAAATAACATGACAAAAACAAACCAAATCGAATCAGTGATAACCATCAATGTAAACGGTGTCAATGCAATGATCAAAAGCAGACTGGAAGAGTGGATGAAGAAAAAAATCCAACTGTATGCTGTATACAAGAAACATATTTAACTCAAAAGGAAATTCATAGACTGAACATTAAAGGCTGGAAAACAATACTCCATGGTACAGGAACCCAGAAAAAAGTGGGTGTAGCTATTCTGTTTGCAGACAACATGAACTTCAAACCAAAAACAATCAGAAGAGAGAAAGAAAGTCACTACATACTTGTGAGAGGAAAACTTCAAGAGGAAGAGATAACAATCATAAACATCTATGCACCAAGAACAGGAGCACCCACTTACATAAGACAAATTTTAACAGACATGAAAAATGAAATAAGCAACAACACAATCATCATGGGGGATTTTAACACCCCATTATCACAAAGAGATAGATCAACTAGAAAAATAATCAGCAAATAACAGGACTGAACCAAACTTGTGAACAAATGGACTTAACAGACCTTTACAGAGTGTTCTATCCAACAGCATCAGAATACACATTCTTCTCAGCTGCACCCAGGACATTCTCTAAAATAGACCATATACTAGCACTGAGAACATGCTTCAGTAAATGCAAAGGAATTGAAATTATCCCATGCATACTATCGGACCATAGTGCAATGAAACTGGAAATTAATGACAAATCACAAAATTCCATAAACACATGGAAATAAAACAACACCCTTCTGAACAAACAATGGTTCACATATGAAATCAAAGTAGAAATTAAACAATATTTACAATCAAAGAAGAATGTAGATACAACTTACAGAAACCTGTGTAATGCAATGAAAGCAGTCCTCAGAGGGAAATTTATAATGGTGAATTCTCACCTCAGGAAAACAGAATAAGCCCAAATAAACAATGTTATGCTGCATCTCAAGCTTCTAGAAAAGGACGAGCAAGTCAAACCCAAAGCCCAAAGAAGACAGGAAATTCTAAAGCTAAAGGCAGAAATTAACACAATGGAGACTAAAAATAATACACAGAATTAATGAATCAAAGAGTTGGTTCTTTGAAATAATAAATAAAACAGATAAACCCCTAGCCAATGTTATCAAAAAAAAATTAAAATAAAAACAAGAAAAAACTGAAATACATGCAATGAGGAATGAAAGGGGTGAAATCACTACAGAGCCTGTAGAAATTCAGAAGATCATCAATACCTACTTAGAAAATCTTTACTCTCATAGGATGGAAAAAAAAGAGAAGAGAGATTTCTAGATACATGTGAATTACCAAACCTGAATGAAGAAGATACAAAACTCCTGAAAAACTCAGTATCAGGCAGCAAAATTGAGAATGTAATAAAAAACTTGCCAATGAAGAAAAGCCCAGCTCCTAATGGATACACAGCTGAATTCTAAAAGAAATTCAGAGATTAACACCAATTCTTCTCAAACTCTTTAATGGAATTGAAAGGGAAGGAATTCTCCTCAACTCATTCCTCAAGACAAGTATTATCCTGATACCAAAACCAGAGAAAGACCCAACCAAAACAGAGAACTATAGGCCAATCTCCCTAATGAATATAGATGCAAAAATTCTCAGTAAAATACTAGCAAACAGAATACAACATATCATCAAGCAGATTATACACCATGACCAAGTGGGATTCATCCCAGGAATGCAGGAATGGCTTAACATACACAAATCAATTAATGTAATACACCATGTCAATAGAGCCAAAGACAAAAATCACACAATCATCTCCATTGATGCAGAAAAAAGCCTTCAATAAAGTCCAACACTCACTCATGATAAAAACCCTATAGAAAATAGGAACAGATTGTCTTTGTTTCAATGCTATCAAAACCATCTATGACAAACCAATGGCTAACATCATACTAAATGGTCAAAAACTGAAAGCTTTCACTGTAAAATCAGGAACAAGACAAGGATGTTCGCTGTCAACCATCCTATTCAATATAGCTCTGGAAATACTAGCTAGAGCAATTAGACAAGAGAAAGAAATAAAAAGAATAAGGATAGGAAAGGAAGAAGTGAAGTGATCATTATTCGCAGATGACATGATAGTCTACATAGATGACCCACAAAACTCCACAGAAAGGCTTATGAATTTAATAACCAAAGTCCATAGTGTAGCTGGATACAAAGTTAACACTCAAAAATCAATAGCATTCCTGTACACAAACAACAAACTGAGAGAAAAATTAAGGAAACCACACCTTTCATAATAGCATCAAAAAAATGAAATACTTAGGAATAAATCTAACAAAAGAAGTTAAAGATCTACACAGTGAAAATTATAGTAATCTGCAAAAAGATCAAAGAGGGTATCAGAAAACGGAAAGATATTCTTTGTTCATGGACAGGAAGAACCAACATTGTGAAAATGGCCATACTGCCAAAATTGTTGTACAGAGTCAGTGCAATCCCAATTAAAATACCATTAGTATATCTCACAGGTCTAGAAAAAACATTTCTAAAATTCATCTGGAACCAGAAGAGGCCTAGAATAGCAAAAGCAATCCTGGGAAACAAAGGAAAGGCAGGAGGCATCACAATTCCTGACTTGAAATTATACTACAAAGCTACTGTGATACAATGAGCATGGTACTGGCACAAAAGCAGACCTGAAGATCAATGGAATAGATTAGAAGATGCAGACACAGCTACAAACACACTGAGCCACCTTATCTTTGACAAAGGGACCAAATATGTTCACTGGAAGAAATATAGCCTCTTTAATAAATGGTGCTGGAAAAACTGGCTTTCTTTCACCATGCGCTAAAGTCAAAATGGATCAAAGATATAAATATTAAAACAGAAACACTAAATCTACTGGAAGAGAAAGTAGGTAAAAATCTTGAAAACATAGGGCTAGGTAGAGAGTTCATGAAGAAAAAATCAAACTGCATGGGAAATACTTCAAAGAATCAACAAATGGAATCAATTTGAAAAGTTTTTGCACATCAAGATTATTCACCAATACAGTAACAAGAAAACCCAAGAATTGAGAAAAAATTTTAGCCAAGTTCCCCTCACACAAAGGACTTCGATCTAGGGCATATAAAGAATTAAAAAAAAATCAGGCCCCCCAAATTCAAAGACCCCATCCAAAAATGGGTAACTCAGATGAATATACACTTCTCAGATGAAGAAATAGTAATGGTGAATAAGTACATGAAAAAATGTTCAACATCATTAGCCATTTGAGAAATGCAAATTAAAACAACACTGAGATTCCATCTCACCCCAGGAAGAATGGCTATCATGAAGAAATCAACCAATAACAAATGCTGGAGAGGCTGAGGGGAAAAAAGAACCCTACTCCACTGTTGGAGGGAGTGCAGATTGGTGAAACCAATGTAGAAATCAATTTGGAGATTCCTCACAAAATTAGGAAAATACCTAGAAGGTATTTTTCCAGAAGAATTAAAAACATCATACCACAGTTATCTGTGTGCATCCATGTTTATAGCACCACAAAATCACAGATAAATCTTGGAAATAACCCAAATGCCTATTAACTGAGGAATGGAGAAAAAAGATGTGGTATTTTTATACAATGGCATATTACGGACCCACACAGGTAAACATCATATTGTCTCCCTGGTGTAGGAACTTGAAAGAGTAAGTAAAACTCAAAACAGAGAATGGTAAGAAAGGGAAAGAAACTGCTCAAAGGAAGGAACAACTGGGATGAGGGAAAGAAGAAAAAAGAAAGAAGGCAAAAAAAAAATATATATATATATATGTGTGTATGTATATAGAATAGCTGGAATAACTGTACTGCTGCTGTCTGATGGTATACTGAAAGGAACAGTTAATGCTTAAAATTTTTTATATTTTGTCCCATTTTGCATGCTTATATCTGGTAATCTGAGAAACTGATTTGAAGACAACAATATGCAATGGAACAACCACTGGTGAATTCCTATCATCTTGTCTAGTGAAACTGCATTATCTCTAATGCTGTATTTAATAATAATTTTTTTATTTGCTTTAATGGTTTGAACAATCTTCCATTCTTATATCTGGTAATCTGAGCAACACAGTTGAAGATAACAATATGTAATATAACCACTACTGTTAATTCCTATGAGTTTGTTTTGAAACCTGTGTCACTTTTAATATTCATGCTCTGTTTTATATCTGTGATGTTGGTATGCTGCTATTGCTTTTTTTTTTACTACTCTCTTTATAATAAAAAATAAAAATAATAAAAAAACAGACACACAAGCATATGTGCTGCATTGTTTCTCTTAAATGAGAAGCACAAAGTATAAATAAAGAGAAAAAATAAAAGATGACAGGAAACAAGGTGACAGGTATTATACAAATGAGGAAGGGATCAAGAGATTGAGGGAGGGGGGAGAGGAGAAGAGAGATAAAGAGAACTGCATGTGTCATGCACAGAGATCAGCTACACAAAATGAACATGCTCATTGTGTATCACAAACATGTATTTTTAAAAATCCAAGCCAGGGGCGGGGGATTTAGCTCAGCGGCAAAAGCGCCTGCCTGGCAAGCACAAGGTCGTGAGTTCGGTTCCCGGTACCGGAGAAAAAAACCAAAACAAAACAAAACGAAAATAAAAATCCAAGCCAATCAGAAGCAGGTTTCTTTAAGTAAAATATTTCACAGCTATTATATTATTATTGGACAATCATTTATTTAAAATAATATTCTAAACACATACAAAAATAAATCGAGTATTACTTCTATTATTCAAGTGTCAAAGTCTTTGCAATAGAAAATAGAAAGGACCATTTTAAATTAAACATTACTTTTAAACTACCTCATATTTATTACTGCACACTTTTATGGTTTATATTTCACAAATTTTCTCTATTTCTTTGCAATGTACACGTGCACACTGAGAATTTATGCATACAACCACATTAGATTTTCATGAAGGAATGTTTCTCATTTCACACACAGAGAACCTAATGCAGACAGCACTTTGCCCTAAAGGCCATCACTACTCCCCAAGGACCAGAGTTGCAATGACATGGAAACAAGTATGGCTGTGAAACCATTATTTAACATTCAAATCACCAGTGCAGGTATTGGAGATGAAGGTATCCTAATGAAGAATACTCACTCCTAACGTTTCTAGACAAAGACATTCTTAAGCTATAGTAAATCAATGGTCTTATTTATTGTAAAAATAGAAAAACTTCAAAGACTTCTCAATATATTAAGTTAATCTCAGGATAAACATCATTGTATACATTTTAAAAAGAGAGGGAAGATTAATCTTAGAGAAAACTCTCAAAATTATTGCAAATTGGCCTGTGCATGGGTAGATTCAATTTCTTATCAAACAGATAAATGCTGAATTATCTCTTCTACAATATATGCATTCAAGTCTCCCCTACAAAACAGATACTAGAAATCAGTTTGTGATGAAATTTTGATAATGCTTCACCACCCACAGGGTGTCAATCTTACTACCTTAACCAGATGCAGAAAAGAATCTCACTTCTGATCAGTTCCTGATTTCTGTTATAAACAGTCACAATAATACAGAACTTCAAATTACAGTATATTATTCTTATATAAATACTTATATAATCAAATTTACATTCTACTTATCACCTATAAAAATGATATATGAGAAAATCTGCTTTTTTCTCTTTTAAGAAAAAGGAACTTAGCTTTAAGTTCTTATTCACAAATTGTGTGAATTTTTTAGAAATTCTAAATAATTGAAAATTTTATTATCAATAGAACTGGAAAACTGACTTATTGATGCTTTACAATAAATTCCAGTAAAAGAGAGTTTGACGAGCTTATAAAAATCTCTATTATGAGCAAGGAGAAACATCAAAGGGGCAGGACGTGTTTAAGGACCAAAATATTCCAAAATGTCACAATATTTAGAAAAATTTAACATGCTAAAATATTTTCAAAGTCTTATTTCTCTTCACCAAAAGTCACAGGCAAGTATACACTATAAGAGTATACAAAAATGCAAAACAACAATTGTACAGATAAAAAAAATTGAAATCCAAGAGGTAGTCAGAAGCAAGCCTGATAAACAGAACATGCTGGTAGGTGTTCCTTAACCTGAGACCCAGATACAGTATGAAATTCTTGTACTTTCAGTGATTAAAACAGTAACTGAGCAAGAAATTTAAAAGCAGATATGTAAATGAATACTAGAAATGGAACAATACTCTTATTTGAAAAGAATGACTAAAAAATAAAAACTGTACCACCAGCCAAATCCATCTCCCAGTTGCTTTAAATAAAATTTTATTGAAATACAGCCATATCCAGTTTGTTTACATATTGTGTATGACTTTTTTAACATCCTAATGGCGGAACTGAGTACCTGGGATGAGATCATGTAGCCCACAAAGCTTAAAAAATTTACTATCTGTGCCTTCAAAGAAAGCTTGCTGATCTCTGATCCAGACATACTGCTGATAAGGATTTGTGGGACAACACTGGAAACATTAACTGTAGCTACCACTACAGTGGTACTCAACTATGCAGAATATAAGATGCTAGTTCTGTAAGAATTCAATTTCTCATCATCTCTGAAATAGTCCTAATGTGTTTTTTTATTTTTGTGCTTTAATACCAAAAACATATTTCCCATTTTACTATTAAAAAGAGACTAAAGACAGCATTGTCCAACAGAATTCTACAGTGATGGAAATATTCTGTATTTGGACTGCCAGATAAAGTAGCCACTAGCCATGTGCAGCTAGTGAGTGTTGGAAATGTGGCTGGTGTAACCCAAGAACCTAATTTTTTGTTTATTAAGTTAAACTGCCTCATGCGACTTGTGGCAACAATACTGAGCAACATAAACGTAACACAGTTTAACTAATATTCCAAATTGAGATTTGTTAAAATGATCCACAAAGGTAGAAACATCTTTGAAAATAGGAGCTTTTAGCAGAAATAAACTAAAACCACAGATTCTTCCCATGATAAACTCAATAAGTAAACAAAAATCAAATTGAAGTTATTTTATCACTACAACATGTTTTTTCAATAATGAGGCAAAATTAATATATTGTGGTATGTCATTTTTGGGGAGATAATTTTAAGCTGAAAAGCAGTAAATGAGACTATCGATTATATTTAAAAGGAGGTGGACAGTTCACACCAAATATTATTTTTCAGCTTCCTTTCCATCAGTCATCTCCTAAAAATGTGAGTTTATTTCCCACCTTCTAACACTTCAACTGAGCTCTCCAGAACTCCTTGTTTTTAGTAGACACCTGTGAAAACTGTGTCCTTTTCAGAATGTGCAGCATTTCCACACAGTTATTGCCATGGTTAAATCTTCCAGAGTGTTCACCTTACATGGCATGCCAAAATACGTCTATTTAAAAGAATTTGTGGATAGAAGTAAAATCTCAAAAATCAAGTTAGAGAAATTACCCTGTATAGTTCTCTGTATGCCTACATCAAGACTAGTTTTATATGGAACAATAACATAAACTAGATACATTGTAAAACTGTAATTACTGATGCTGCAAATTAAATTACTGGTATAACAGAAAACGTTAAAATAAAAGTCAATTTGAAATTATAATACTCAGAAAATGGTTGTTTAAGATATGTGCTTAATTATATCTTCTAATTATTCCAGTGTGCTTTCCCAGAGAGACAGTTACTTCTATACTTTGTTTTTGAAGTTATCTGGCAAAAATCGATTTGTGGGATTTTTATTCCAACATGCCTACGTCAAGCATCTTAACCTTTTATAATGCAGTAGCTGAAAGGTATAAAACATTTTAAGGGCACTTCTGTTCCTGTTTTCTTTTGCAGTTTAATCAGACGTTGCAGCTGGAACTTTGACAGAGAGATTTCTCCGGGTGCTGGTGATGTGCCGCTGCTGTGCTAAGAAGGACCGTGTGGGGCCACAAGGACCAGCGTCTTTGCAAGCGCTGCTCATGAGCCTGGACTCCATCCCTAGTTTCTGGAATGCCAGACTCTGACCAAAAGCAAAAAAAAAAAAAAAAAAAAAGACTATAAATATTTAGTTTACAAAGTATCTTTCACATATA